TTTTAGTCCCTTAAAAACAAAACACTTCAGTTAACCAAGAAATTTAAGAGACTCATGTCACATTTTAGGAATTAATAATGACTGTTAATAGAGTTCCTAAAGTTTATGCTCATCTATTAGAAGGATTATAATTGTTTTCCATCTTGAAGGGACTGAGTGGTACAGTACATTGAAAGTCAATTATATCTGACTACTATTCTGTATTGATTTATCCAGACGCAATATGCCCTGTGGGAAAAACATAAGCTTTCAACCTTCACACATGATAACACTGGGAAAATACCAGCAACAACTCATTGTTGCCAGTACTGGTTACTTTCTTACAGCAAATGACTCTGCATCTGTCTTCCTGGTTTGTGTGCTTATGAAAGAATTACTGTTTGACAGAAGTGTTGCTAAAGGGTGTAACAATGACAAACTGGACCTCCACTTACAATGAGGATCTTGGGGCTGTGTGCAACTAAAGGTCTGAGAAGAATTATTTTTTGAATAATTGTGAATAAATTTAGATATTAAAAATGTAGGCACAGATGGAAGAAACCCTTGAATCATTAGACAAGTTGCCTTAAGAGAAAATTTAATCAAAGCTAAACATTAAATCTGCTGCTTAAAATACGTTAAGGCTTTTAAGCAAAACAGGCTTTTAAACTCAAGGCAATCAGTTGGTACTTTGCTCACACTATTTTGAATGTATTTGTGTGAAAACTGGAAGGGATTCCCAAAAGGATGACAAACAATTGTGAATGATCAGTTCTATTTCCTGATTCTTTGTGATTTATCATAAAGAGTTATGAGACCAAAAAAAGTTTAAATGACCAAAGTAAAATGAGATTAATGATCACTGTCCTGCAAATTGCCCACTCAGGGTGTTGAATACAATATTTTCAGCCCAGAATTTTGAAGATGAATTTTTTTAACTTTGTTCTTAAGTGAAAATCTTTGTCTTAGATTGTAATGGCTACAATCTCAGATATTTCATGCCTCATGTAAAATGATTTAGCAACAACAGCAAGTTTTGACGTTTGAGCAACTATTTGCTGAAGAAGTCAATGGACCATGTCATTCCCTGTCCATGTGAATGGACAGGTCGCCAGCTTTCTGAGTACAGCCTGGTACATTTGTCTACCTGGTGCTGTTTATTTTGCATCTATACTCATATGATTGAGCACAGTGTTTTTCAAACTCCAAGTCATGCTGTATTAATGAGTAGTGAATTACAAACCAGCATTTAAGATCTTTTTATTTATGATCATTTAAAAACATACACAAAGTAGAGCAAATAGTAAAATGAACTCCCATACACCCATCATTCAGATTCAACAATTATCAAGATATTGTCAAGTTCGCTTCTTATATCCTTTTGTTCTTTTATTCTTTGGGGAAGTATCTTCAAGAAAATGCCAGGCAGCATTTGAACTTCTACATATGCCAGCATGTATCTTTAAAGAGAAACATTTTTTTGCATAACCACAAAGCCCATTATCACACCTAGAAAAATTAACAAGGATTCTTGGTACTGTGCATTATACCTCAAGTATCTAAAAAATGTCTTCTTACAACTAGTTTATTTGAATGAAGAACAATCAGCATTAAAAAAAAAATGAAATAGACTCAGTAATTCCACTTCCAGGAATTCACCTGAAGAAAAAATGGCATTATTTACAATGGCCAAGATATGGAAGCAACCAAATTGTCCATCAATAGATGAATGGATAAAGATGAGGTAGTACATATACACAATGAAATATTATTCAGTGATAAAAAAGAAAGAAATCCTGCTATTTGCAGCAACATGGATGGACCTAGAGGCTATCAGGCTCAGTGAAATAAGCCAGTCAGAGAAAGACAAGTACCATATTATTTCCCTTATGTGTGGAATCTAAGAACAAAGCAAAACAAAATAGAAGTAAACTCATAGACACTGAGTAGTGACTGGTGGTTAACACAGGGGAGTAGTTGGGATGGCTGGGTGAAATAAGTGAAGGGGATAAAGAGGTACAAAATCTTAATCATAATATAAATTAGTCATAGGGATGAAAGTACAGCATAGAGAATATACTCAATAGATCTGTAACATCCTTCTACTAGACAGATAGTAACTACAGTAGTTGGGATGAGCATTTAATAACATAGATATTGTCCAATCACTACACTGTATGCTTGAAACCAATATAATAATGTTTCAGCTATACTTCAATAAAAAACATTTTTTAAATGAAACAGATTAGTAAATATCCAAGGTCATCACATGTAGTAGTAAGACTCATTTTTGTTTTATGAAATTTCTTTTTGTATGTGTGTATTTGTGTCATTTATAAAATGTACCTTTCTTTTTTTTTACCACTGTTCAGTCACGGAAGTGTGAAAGCTACTGGTCTAGCAACCCTCTGTTTTACTTGATGGGCTAGATGCTGACTTCGTGTTAAAAAATATTTTCCACAGTTTAAGGAGAGATGTACAGGAAAATCTGTATCATTGCTCTTGCTGTTCCCTCTGCCTAGAACTCCCCTCGATACTGTCTACTATTTCACATCTTACCCAGCTTCTTAGGGCTGAAATGTCATTCCCACTGAGGAAACGTTTCTGTTTTCCTGCCCAGCTGTCGCTTGGTTTGCCTCTTTTTCACTGCACACAGTGCACTGCATTATGTAAGGATTACCTATATACAATATGTGTTTTATCCTAGTTTATAAATTATAAACTCATCAAGTGTAGCATGCAGAACTTCTTTGCTTGGACATGTCACTTGCCCTGTGCTTTGCTTACTCTCAGCACTTAACAATTGAATAAATTGAGTTAGGAATTTGAGACTCTAGGTGTTGGTGTCAAAAATCAGACCCCAAGGAGAGACTGGAGAAGAACCCAAACTCATAAGGTTTAGACTTAACCATGAAAACCAACAACAATAATAGTGGCTACATTTTTTTTCAAAGCTTCCTATGTGCTTGGTACTGGAAGTACTTATTTTACCCAATATTCCCCCAAAAATTCTGAGAGTAAGGAGTAGGTATCACCAGTTTCACACAAACGGAAACCAAACAGTTAAGTACTTTGGCAAAGTAGCATCTAAGCTGTCCTTCCCAATAGGATTCGAGGTTCAGAGGCTAATCCATTCACTGAGATAGGGAGCCCCTAATTTTCTAACCAACATTTTGACTCTATTTCATAGTTTAGAATAAGCTAAAGGAGAAACCAGGGATGATCAGCCTGGATTTCTTTTCCTTTTTGTCACAGCTTCTGGAGCCTAAAGAAATCTGAGAAGAACTTGGGAACTCCCTACTGCAGCACGGTCCAATAGAATTGTCCACAATGATGGAAGTGTTTTCTGTCTGTGCTGCCCAGTATGGTAGCTATTAGCCACTGGAAGCTATTGACTTGAAATGTCGTTAATCACCGAGGAACTGAATTTTAAAAATTTAATTAAACTTAAATACTTACATATGGATAATTCCCATCAGCATCAAACATGCTGTTATTTCTTCCATCTTACAAAAATTAACCTCCCTTGACTATACACCCTTCTATGATACCACCCCATTTCTCTGCCCTCTCCTTTACAGTATATTCAACAAAAGGTTTGTCTACACTCCCTATGTCCATATCCCCTTCCTGCACAGACTCTTAAACTCGACTTCAGTCAATCTTTTGCCTTAACATGTCACCAAAGTCTCTTCCGAGCATCACCTCAGGGAGCTTTGAGTTGCCAAATCCTATAGTCAGTGTTGAGAGCTCATTTTACTAGAACTAATAGCAGCACTTTATGTGGCTGATAATTACCTCTTCAAAAGACTTCCCTCTCTCGGTTCCTCAGGACCTCATTACTCTCTCTCAGTTCTCTTCCTACATCACTGGCTATTCTTTCTCACTTTTCTGTGCTGGATTTTCATTTTGCACCCTATAAATATCAAAATGTCACAAACCTCAGTCCTCGGACCTCACCGTTTGTTTATCTATATTTTCTTCTAGATGGTATCATCCATTTCCATGGCTTCAAATACTATGTATGGGCTATAGATTTCTAAATGTATCTCTAGCTCTGAACTCCATACTCTATGTTACACAGCCAACCCCTTTACTCAGACTTAACCACTGGATGTCTAACAGGCACTTTAAGCTTAATACTCCAGAAGATCATTTTTGATTTCACCTTTCAAATCTGCTTTCCTTCAACCTTCCCCATTTTAATCAGCACCATCTCCATCTTTCCAATTGCGCAGGCCAAAAATCTTGGAGTCGTCCTTGACTTATTTCCCAGTCAATCCATCAGTAAATCCTCCTGGTTCTACTAATTAAGAGTACGAACCTGACTTTCTCATGACGTCACCTACCACACCCCTAGTCCAAGCTACTACCATCTCTAGTCTGGATTATTGCAAAAGCCTCCTCACTGGTCTCCCTACTTTGATTTACCTTTATCCCCTTAAAATCACCTCTCCAAACAGCAACCAGAGTGATCCTTTAAAAACACAAATGTATTCATATTACAGCAACACACCAAACTTTGCAGTGGTTTCCCATCTCCTGAATAAAAATCAAAGTCCTTACAGCAGTCTCTAATACCCTGCAAGATCTAGCCCTAGCTACCTCAGATCTCCAGGCCCACCTTCCCTCCTCTCCCTGCCTTGCTCTTCATTCTCACCCAGAGGGTCTTCCTTAGTGTTCTTCAAAGGGACTAAATATGCCACCCTCAATTCCTTTACCCTGATGTATTTTACATCACAGTTCTTACCTGTCACCCCAAACTAAACTTTGGAACACTCAATCAGAGTTCAGACTTGGTTTTGTATCCTCATCTCAAGAAGTGCCTGGCACTGAACATGTGTTCAATAAATCAGTGTTGTATGAGTGAATGAATAATTACATTCCTAATGCCTAGTAATATAACTCACAGTAATACTCATTTTGGATCTCATTTTCTACATCTCTCTAAGGAGAGATGTGCTAGATGATCTCAAAATACACATTTATTCAGTAAACATTTAACGCAACCTACTGTGTACCTGGCACTGGGTAGATTCTCCTGATACAGAAGGAGGTCACAGTCCCAGCTCTCAAGGAGCTCAATGTTCAGAAGGGCAAACAGCCAAACAGGAAGTTACCACGGAGGGCTACCAAAGGAAACTTCTGAGCGTTCACCTGGAAATGGGTAGGACACAGCTCGGTAAAGAGGAAGTGGAAGCCTGTTCCCGGCTGTCCACCCGCGCACGGGCAACACTCACAATCTATAAACCCTGTGAAGGCAAGGGCCTCCCGTTGTATTCCCAAATTTGGCTCCAGACTCTTATATTATTCTTACCTTCAATGCTGGTGCATTTACTGAAGGAAGAGGCGGGATGGAACTGGAGAAGATAATGAACTCAGTTCTAGCTTTAAAACTATACGACCTTTGTTAGAATCCACCTATTTCATAAAGCGAGTCACTGCTTATGGACTTAGGGTTGGACCTATGTATTCCTGTACATTGTCTCCGGGCCCCAATAATACAAACACATCGTATTTAAGCCTGAAGGCTCCTAGCACCGTGCAAAGGTCCTCAACGTCTTTTCTGGCCCATGTTTCTGAGAGCTACAGCGCACTCCTATCAGCGCGCGGCAACTTGGACACTGAGCAGGAAGCGCGGACCAGAACCGCGCACCGCAGAGTCGTCCCTCTGGGACCGTCACGGTCGGCCCTTCTGCAGTTTCCGGGTGTTCTTGCTAGTCGGCCCACTCAAGCCCCTGCGCTAACTGGGAGGAGTCGACCTCCTCCGGCTCTACCAATTGAAAAATTTAGGGGTGGAGTGACTGAACATGCTGAGATGAAGGACATAAGAAGGAAAGAGAAGCTCCCTTAAGTAGTAAATCAAGACATAAACTTATTTAAGCCTGGCATGGATCTTATATTTCCTTATAAATGTAGGTCTTTCCATCTTCCAAGCGAAAACAACACTTGTCTCCCCCTATACCCGGGCGCCCCACTTTTGGTCTCTTCCGCGCCGGACGACCCCGCAGTCACGTGCTCCTCCTGTCCTTCTCGCGGAACGTGCATCCCGTGGTGGGGACACCGAGCCATGGCATCCCTGCTGAGACCCGCTTGCTGGCTCCTCCGAGCCGGGGCGGCCCCGCGCCTCCCCCTCTCCCTGCGTCTCTGCGCTGGCAGCCTGGGCCGGCCGCCCGCCGCCCGCTTTCTGCTTGCTTCTCGCGCCGGGCAGGTCCCCGGGTGAGTGTCCGGGCACATCCGTCAGCCCGCCCACAGTATGGGGTGTTCCTGGGGGTCGTTGACGCTGGCGAGGGCAGGGGTCCCGCCTGTGCCTTCTCCATGCCCTGTTTGCTGCTCCAGGGTCAGCCGTCCAGGGACCTCAGACCACACTCCCCACCGGGGGTTTTCGGGTGACAGGGTTGGTCATCTTCAGAAGGTCATGGCCGTGTGAGCATGGCTTGCTTCCGGCTAGGCTCCTGCCTTCGCAGCCTGGAATTGGGTCCTGCCCTCGGGCTGCTGAAGGCCTATGACACTAAGGGGGGCTTTGAAGGCTGCTGTGAGGGTCAGTGTTACTCTTTTGATTTATGATTGACCGGCTTGAGTGCTGTCCCACGTGCGATTCTTAGTGGTAGTACGTAGCCAGCTAAGACATAGATTTCGAAAGCATTATTTTTGTGAGGTGGATCGGTTGGAAATTGTGGGTGAGTTAGGGATAGCTTAGAAATGGACGTTTAATTATCAGTTTGGACTTTTGCCTGCATTTTCCTGAGTGCAGTTTTCCTCCCAATATTTACGAGGTGTGGCTGGGATTGGGAATTGTCGCTGTAAGCCCTCCAAGTATCAACGAATGAATAAGTGAACACACGGAGGTCACTCCATGGGATTTGGGGATGCAAAGGCAAGTTAAAGGTTTCAGTGCGTTTCAAATACGTGAATAAATGCCCTTATGGATTGAGGTTTATCAGGAGATAGGTTTGATATAGACTTTGGTGGGGGAATAAGAAAACTTGATGAAAGTATTAGTTTGAGTAGTATTCTGATCACCTGAGAGGGGAAGATGGGAGCTGAGGTTTTAGAATTGGAGAAAAACTGATTTTTGAAAGGCAGTATTTGTAAATGTACTTTCTGAACCAGCATAAGGACTAAAAGCTTAAAATAAGGAATAGGCCAGGCTCGACTGCAGGCTCATCTATTTATTTGTATTATGCCATTGGACAGCTTACATTTCCAGGCCTCAGTTTTCTTAGTTATAAGGAGGGAGTGGTCATCGTTTTGGTAGTACTGCATGAGATTATCTGTATAAGCACCTTTGGGTGGGGTACCTAGTAAGTGCTTTATTAGTTAATAGGAATAGTAACAACATAATTGCATGGGTCTTTCTTGCCCAGCCTGGAAATCTACTCTCTGTATAAAGTTATAGGGAGGAAATGTTTTATGACTTCTTAACAAATTAGTTATAAATCTTTGGAATGCAGCCTCCTTGTAACTTGCAACCTGCCTGGATTTTCTCAGGAGGCCTGAACTTTAATCTTCGGAAATTATGCCTCTGTCTTTGAAGAACTACTCTGTTGGCTTTGAGAGTTTCTTTTGGGAAAGTTGTGCCAATTACTCTCTTATTTTTCCAGTCCGTAACGTCCCTGTGAGGCCAGAGGAGGGTCAGTCAGTGTTATTGTTCACTTTCAATGTTGTGTTTGAAGAGAGTAATAGAGGGAACACAATCTTGTAGGAAGCATATTGGTTTAGGTGTTTGTCAAACCTGAGTTCTGTTTACTTGCTGCATTATCTTCACTTCCTTGATCCTCAGTTTCATTATCTGTAAAGTAGAGGTAACTTTTGTCAAACTGATCTCTTGTCATTTAGGACTCAACTGCTGTTTCTTCTAAAAAACTACCTTTTTTTTAGTTTTATCAATATGTCTCACTTGTCTGGTATTATCTGTTCTCTGTTTCCCTAGTAGAGAAAGTGAGTTAGATGAGAGCAAGATTTTGTCTCGCTCACCACTGTGTGTCCACTCATAACAGGCAACATAGAAGTATTTGTTCCATTTTTCTTTTGGACTTTGAACACTCTTTCTATACAGTCTCCCGTCCCACAGCCCATAGCATGCCCAGGTCCTTCCCACCTGAAAAACCAAACCTTTGCCAGGACTCTGGACTTAGTCTAGATGCTTCCCAGTCTCTCCTGTCTGTACTTCTGTCTCCTTCATTTCCTCACTTCACATTCACTCTACACCCACTGTAGTCACTCTACTTCAAAAGCCATCATTGTATTACTAATTTTTTGTTGTATATTTTTAAGTTAAGAAACTCATGTGCCTTGTGGAACAGTTGTAAGACATGGGGGAAAGCAGTAAACTAAAAATCACCCTTAATTCTATCACCCAGAAAGAGCCAAAATACATGTATGTGTATCTCCTGATCTTTTATGTATGTGTGAGATACAAGTTTATATAATTTTTCCAAGGGACCTCTGAATTACCAAGTCCACTTGTAAGGGCTTGACCTCTGACATGTTTCTCTCTCCCATTTCCCACTTGATGAGACCCTTTTCTTGGCATTGACGACATGTTCTTACTTGATTATCTTTAGGATTTTTCTCGCTCGCTTTGTGCTTCCTTTAACCTCCATTTCTCTCCTAAATCGTGATGTCTCTGGGGATCTTGTCCTTAGTCCTTACATTTTTTTACTTTTTTTCATTCTCTTTGGGTGACTTCTTCCATTTTCAGGGCATCATTTTTTACTTGTCTATCTGATGCTGACATTATTTCTCCTCCTGGATATAGACTATCTACTAGTTACCTCCATTGGTTCAACCACAGGTACTTCAAACCCATCACATCTTAAATTGGACTCATCTTTCCTCACGTCTGTTCCTCATGTATTCCTCGTTTCAGTGAAAGATGTTATTTCTATCTGTTTCCTGGAGATCTCTCATTTATATTTCATTGGTATTTCCAGGACTCTACACTCCCCTTTACATACTGATTGCGCAAGTGATTAAGTTGTTAGATCTGCTTCATCTGGAATGAATCCCCTCTTCTTAGAACCATCACATCATTCCCTAGTTTCCCTTATAATTTGATTATAAAATTTTCCTACTTAAATTAACCATTGTGGTCGCTCGCATTAGTCCCCAGGTAAGGTGCTTCATGATCTGAAGATAGCTCTGGAGCCTCACTTAGGAGTTCCTTTCTGTGGCGTCCTGTATTCTAGCCATGCCAAACTACTACTTTGAAGTCCTCTACAACTGGGCTTCTGAAACTATAATGAGCATAAGAATTCTCTGGGGATCTTGTTGAGTTGTAGATTCTCATTTTAGGACTAGCTGGGGACTTCTGCCTAGGGCATTTCTAACAAGCCCCCAGCTGATAAATACTTAACTGAGGCTGCTGGTCTGCAGGCAAGTAAGGCTCTGATGGGCCATGTTGCACATCTCCCTGCCTTTGTGTTTGATGTTTGGTTTTGGGATGTGTCTCCCTTTTTCTGTACGCAAGTGTCTTCTCTGTTAAATCTTTCTTGACTGCTTCTCCCATTTGACTGCTCCCTTCTTGTGCTTTCCCTCAGATCCTGATCACTAAGGCATCCGTTAACATGATCACGTGTACCCACCAGCACTCCACACCTGGCTCTAATTTCCTTGGAGGCAGGGACTTTGTCTTACTCTTTTTGCCTCTCCTAGTGCCTAACTTTGTGGCACATGGTAGGTGTCAAATATTTGTTGGGTAAATTAATGAAAATCTTAGACAGTAAGCAAGGAATATTAGGAGATGCAAGGAGTTTGAAGGGGTACTTAGCCTGTTCACGTAGTACAGTGAATCCACAAATTCACCCTGATCTTGTTTTCCAGCAATGTCCTGTCTGAGAAGGACAGGTGAGTATTATTGAGTGAGACTATTATAATTTATTTATCTTTCCAGAATTGAAGCACCAAAATGATACACTTTTCTTTTATATCCTTTAGTCTTGCTCTTCATTTTCCCATTTCAGCACTTTTTTCCTTTTTTTAAGCAAATTATTTTCTTAAAAACTAGCTTTTACCCTGTCTGCTCTGGGGAGATTGAGGAACAGACACTTGCTTTCTCACACACTCTTTTTTTCTTACACTTTTGGGTCAGATGTTACTTATTTATTTCTTGTGTGAATTTTTAGAATAATGCTTGTGTACTTCTTATGAAAGATAAGCTGTGAGCTAAATCAGTTTGGAAGTAGATCTAGATTGATGATTGGTGTGGAGGTAAAGATCACATATTGCACTATGACACAATGAGTGACTTCCTGAGTTGGAAGGAAAGAAGACTTTCCCATATTTATCTGTCATTGAATTAAAAAGTCTTATCAGCAGATACTAAGAGTTGGTCTGGGACCTGGGTTGCAGTTCAGCCTCTGCCCCCTGTGAATATAAATTTATCAGTTGGAGAGGCTTATGATAGGCACGTGTACAACTATTATATATGTGCTGTCCATAAGAGAGAAACATAACACAGTGGTATTTCAGACAGAAGAGCTATCACATTTGTTCTTTGGTAGGGGATCACCTACCTTGAGTTTAAGAGGAAAAGGGTGTTCCTGGGGAAGAAAACACCATGAAGAGACTAGAGCCTGTCCTTTTATCCTGTGGCTGTGGTGGAAGTTGATACTACAAAGGCCAATATTGTGAAGCTACTCAGTTGATTAGAAAATCGGGCTTTTCCTGGTTGCAGGCTCTGAAGGGTTTAGAGAGGTACAAGTCTTGACAAAGTTCACATAGACTGTAGGAGGATGGAGGCTAGGAGTGGACAGACCAGTTAGGAAGAACATTGATACTGCAGATTATGGCCAGTAGGGCCTGGACTAGGTGGTACAGAACTAAAAAAAAGATATTTTTCTTCTTGAGAGAGTGTGAGTGCGCAGGCAGTGGGTGAGGAGGATGTTAGAATTAGAAACAGCGAATTTGGAAATGAGAATAAACAATAGTATCTTTAGATCTTTACCATTTTCACGCTGTGTTTGTATGAATACATCACATAAACATTTCATCTTCTGTGGGTTGGTAATACAGATTAGGAAACTGAGGCTTAGAAGGGTGAAGTAATTTCTCTGGACGAGGAACCTTGAGTGGACGTCTATGACACTAAGGGAGTATCTGACATGTTTGAGTATGTTGTGTTTTAGGTGCTGGGGGAATTATTTATGGATATAGATATATTTTTTAAAAAGGCAGTATATGATGCATTATGTATTCAGGAATTTAAGACTATCACA